TTTTTTATGTTTTTACTTATGTCGGTTTTCAAAGATACTTTGCCGATTCTTTTCCGCAAAACTGTCGAAAAATAATTTTTATTTTCGTAAATGGTTAATGAAAAGCTGAAGAAGAGAAGTATGTATGTATGTTAAGATATGCGCAAGTTGCGCGTTAATTAACTACGATTTGCACAACAACAACTACAACAACCAAATTCCCAAACACAATTGTAAAATGTACGTTACGGACATCGCGTGTGAAAAACGCTGCCGCTGACCACTCGCTGTGACGCGTTCTCTGTCCAAAACTAGAAAATAAAGAACTATCAAACTACAACTAGCGAAGAATGGGTGCTTCTAGCTATGTACATATGTTTCTAGTATACGCTTTAAGACACAGCAGTTGTCTCCGCCTCTGCCTTCTCTTATCTTTGTTGGCTTTACGTTATGTTGTCTTTTGGCAATTGTGACGAAATCTCTAAAGCATATATGTACATACATACATGTATGCCTTCGTACACAAGTAGTACATTGTGACAAAATGTGCACACACATTACACATACTTATGTCTGTCTCTTATACACATCTAGTACATTGTGACAAAATGTGCACACACATTACACATACTTATGTATGTAGGTATAAGTTATTATTGGCTAGCATGGAGGTGCACGTTTTGCTCAAACGAATTTCATTCCGTCCGGTCTGCTTGCGAAATTCATGGAGATTTTATAGTTTTTCTTTTTAATTTCTGCAACGCCTTKTTGTCGGATTATTCCCTAGCACTTTCCAAGTTAACAGCTGCTGTTCCCAGTTACACCACTTGTTGTAGTTGTCCATTTATTGACGTACTGTCATGAGCTCGCACGCCAGGATTAGCACTTCGGGAGCCCCGTTACATACTCTAGCAGGTTAGCTGACGAACTGGCATAGCGCATGACATATATTTATGCACGCTCTGTATGTATGTATTAACAGCCGAAGACACATGCCTTCTTAGGCACAAACTTACCTCCTTACATAGGAGTTTAATATACATACTATGTACATACATACGTACATATGTATGTATTGTTATTGTTTGTGTGTTTGCCAATATTCCGTTGAGATTAATCATGACTGACTTATTTATAGATGATCGAATGCGACTRTAAGTCAATTATAAATGTGGTACAGAGGCATATTCTTGTTGCCATTGCATGTTGGCATTTTAATGAGTTTTACTGTTGTTGTGTGTGTGCCACCTAAAAGGCAATTTACACTTTGCGTGGAATTAGGTAAACAACGCAATTTCTGCTACAACCGTTTTGCCTGATATGTCAAATACATATGTATGTATCAGTGTATTGTCGTGCACTTGYATCGGTTAATGCCATTGCATATACACCAGTATTCATACGCACACATATAAAAATGCGAGGCTGGTTCAGTGCATTGATAACCCGAACTTGTATTTTTTCAATGTTATGTGTTATTTTTATTAGCAATATCATTTGATAGACTTGCGTATTAATGTACATATGTATGTATGCATATACTTAAGTCCGTATATAAAGCGATAAAAATGTAAAAAAATATAATATTGTAGTCCTTAGGCATTTTGCTTTGCTCTTAATCTAATTCATCTATTAATGATTCTATACTATGCTCTTTGCTGCGGAGAAAATCGTTCACTATTTTAAGGGATATAAAACTTAATATTTCATTCTGCGAAAATGTGAAAAAAAATTCCAAAAAGTAAGTCTAAAATAGTAGAAAAGGAAATCTGAAATTTGTATTTTTTAATAGCTTGAATAATTCACATATATTAATTAAATTGAAAATCTAACATAGGTTCTGTGCAAAAGAATTTGACACAGTTGATATGTGAATTGAATTCCCTTCCGAATGAGGAACTTATGTATGGATTTTGCTATGAAATATTTTTTTGAGCTTTATTAACAATATAATTTCGTGATTCTTAAAAGTCTTCATTTCTTTAAAAACATTTACCGGTCATATACCATCACATTAAATGTTTCCTTTACTATACATCAATACTATATACCCAAAAACCCGCTCTAAGGATACAGGTACAATGCCGTGTCGCTGATAAGACTACGAATCACACTCCAATTGAAAAGCATATACAGGTATTTTGCCATTGGACAACAGATGTTTAAAGATAAATGATCACAAACTGTTTTGAAAAGTATAAGGAGATAAACCGTTCTATTTTATCTACTTTTTAAGCTTACTTGTAAATATATGTATGTATATGTAAGTGCACATGAATGTATTTTGACCCACATCCTACACCATCTCAACATATGTATGCCGAGGTAAGTAGTAACTACCGAACCAACACATTGTTAAAATAGAGTAAAGCACATAGGATACTTCTTACAATCCTTTTGAAATTCGTAGCTGCTCCAGAGCGATTGTTTTCGAAGATATAAGGTGCTTAGAATTAATGTTAATTGCTTGTTTTTAACAAGGTTATATTTGATTATTCCACAGCTGTGTAGCAAGCAATGAGCTATGCGCCTGCGCGGCGAAAAGGCAAGCCAGAGCTGTTTGAAGAAACACAAACATACGCATAGAGCTYATAGCTAATATTTTTTCCACGTTACATGAAGGACTTATCCCCCCATACATTAATTTCACTACGCTCCATTTCATTCCTCTGGTCCCTAATGCCTTCACCTATCCTTCTTGTTTTCATTCGTGTACGAGTGCTTTGTTGTCTGTCGCTGTTGTTGTTTTTTCTCTTCTTTCGCAGAATGGGTTTCGCAGTCGTTCTTGTTTTAGCGACCTTTAAAAGTCACCTATTCATTTCTCTTTCGACTAGATTTGTTTTTTTCTGCAGAAGTACATTCAGATTATTACACATTTTCCTCAATATTTTTGCACACACTTTTTTCGTTTAGATAATAGGGAAGAAAAAAAAACAAAAAAGACAATAAAATTCAACGGTGAAGCCACCCAATTGATGACGACGCGGACTATGCAAGGGTTAGTATTTCCAACCTTCGACCAGACCATCAACAATGACGTCACTTTATCAAAAATACTAAAATTGGCATTCATTGCTTAGTAAAAATCAGAACTAATCCAGACGATTGGATATCCTCGTCTGTTCACAAACTTCGGAATATAGCTGCACATATGTATGGTATATTACTTGTAGTATTCATGGAATTTTATTCTCTCGGCCAAGCCGTAACACAAGCTCACTCACTTCTGCAAACAGCACCAACATAGAATTAGCAACAATTTTAATGAAAATATCGTCAAATTTTACTCTGTTTCAATAAAATCATAAATTTTGGTTTACACTTATTATTCACGAATATTTTTGCTRCAAACACTTTGCACTTTAATTCGCTGTTTTGCACAATGAACACAACACCGAAAATAGAGATGGCTTCACACAAACGCACCCACTTCACACAAGTGAAAACGAGTACGCTACATATACCATCAAAGAGTCGGTTGAAATGAGAGAACGACGGTGAGTACTACGGCGTAGTGGTACAAGCGCGCTCACACACCAACGAAGCCAAACACACCACACACCTATTAGCATGTATATGTATATATTCACCGTCCCCACTAAATATTACATATGCTAACCAAATTCAACCAAACCGTTTCAATGCGTTGTTCAATGAGTACTGAACGCAGCTGTTTGCTGCAGCACAGACAGTCAGAGCAACTGTAGCGATGTGAACAGCTACCAAAAACGATTACTAATAATAATCGATAACTTTCCTTTAGTTTCTTAACTTTCTTTCTCAACACATCACTGACAAAAGCTAAAAGCGATGCACGAAATGTTAACTTTATATTAATTATTTCGTTACATTTATTTTACTGTCAGCTTAATTTTTTGTCGCCTCTTCGTGACAGATTTAAGTCGATAGACAAGTAAACCAAATTTGTTTTCTCTAATCAGTTCCAATAAGCCAGTGTTGGGCAATTGTCGCCATGAAATGAAATCGCTACAGGATGTTCTGTGCGTGACAAAACCTATTGGGAAAGTAAAGAGAAACAGAGTGACGCATGGTAATAAAAAAGTAATGCAAACGGAAAAAAATTGTTGTAAAAAACAATAAAAACTGTTATATCATATTATTGCCGAGTGTTTATTTGAAATGAAAGATTTTGTTTTCTTTTTTTAATTGCAATTTATTAATCTGTATTTCAATCTCGTGCTGCGCAACAAATTCATTGCCCCGTTAGTTTTGCATTGTAATGCTTCAAATTTCGGCTAAGAAAGTTTTTTTTGCTTTTATGTTTTGTTCATACATATATATTTAGTAATTTATTTATTTTCAACGAACTATAGTGTTTTTGTTTTGCATTTGAATTTTTTCCTTATTTAATGTCTAATACTCAATATAGAAATCGTTACGTTCCTTAAACACACAAACTCGTACACACCCTTAGAGGCTACGCTGCTTACTTACATACAAACGTTACGTTACGTAACTTAACTACCAAAAAAGCTTTCTTCGCGTACAAATTGTTTTCGAATTAAATCTCTACTCTCTCTCTCTCGCTCTCTCTCTCTATGTCTAACATCGCACTTTGATTTGATTTTCCGCCACTTTCCTACACACATACGCATATATATTTTTCCTTAAAGTTAATTTCTAACATTTCAATAGCGCACTAKCAGCTAGTTTATTATGTATATCTTCACTTTTAATTAAAATAAAACRTAAGTTAAATACAATAGTTCATATTTAGTAAATCTAACGCTTGCCACAACGGCAATTATTTGTTTGTAGCTTAAAGGGTCTCTTTGCAACAAATTACGGTAATTAAAAATCTACAATTGTATCACTTAAATCGGCGTTTGTTTGCTTCGTATGCAGTTCCCGCACTGCTTTTGGAGCGTGAATGCTTTTACTACACACGCGCTGGAGTCTCTGTGGAGACCCTGGAATAGCTTTTACAAGTCTTCTTTGTATAGTACAATGGTCCAATTAAGTATATGGTGTATATGTATGTATGTATGTATACATTTGCATTTATTAATAATTTGTGAGTTTTTGTTGACTTCTTTCGTTATTACACAGTTTGTATGTCTGAATTCTTCATATTGTTTCACTAAATGCCGTTTTAATGCATTTTCATTTCGTAAAGCCGATCGCAATACATTTTTTGTGGAGTTTGCGATGTTTGAATAAATTTTTTTGGTTTTTGTACGAATGGAAGTTTGGGATGTTTAGTCATTTTTTCCGCTAAGCAACTAAATGGCGGAAGTTGAACATAATCAAGAAGAACATTAATTAAATTATTATTCATTMAATTTTAATTAACAAAACTTCACAAAAACTTAAAAGTTTAGGAATTCGCCTTGCTGCATATTCATTTCTACATTTTCTCATTGACTTTGATTTGCAGTGGCGTTGTTGGTTTTTTGCACGGTTTTGGGTTGTGTGTCCACAGAGCTGTGTGTGTGTGTGTGTGTGTATACCTAAATATATATTAAAAATATACTTTCTTACGCTTAACACTCACATTTATCATGCTACTTAAAATAATCTAAAATTCAATGCTCTAGTTTATCAAACAACATACCAGATTTTATATATGTATATCCACTTATGGTTTAAATGAGTTATTTTCAATTTTCCATTTTTTATTAACTAGCGTGCTCTTAGAAGTGGGGCTGTGCGCATATTTGTTGCAAACATTGCAAAGTTTCAAACCAATTGGAGGAGCGTAAGGTGAAAGCTAAATTTACCGTGGATCTAAAACTCGTTTCGTACGACTGCTCGCACAGCCCTTGCTTAAATACTCTTTATTGCAATTGCATTTAGTGGTCCTTTTGGTTGTGTTGATTTCAAATTGTTTATGTGCTGTTTTCGTAAATATAGTTCTTAGTTGTTTTTTATATTTATTTATTTTATTTTATTTTTATACTAAAAATTGCAAGCAATGTCAGATGCTTTATAATTTACTTCATTAACCTAATTTTTCGCAGTGTTTTATGTTTCAAACTTTCAAGCATGTATTTCATAACAATCAATCAATCACTTTGCTGTTATTCAGCGCTCTGCCATTTCGATTCTAATACCTTGTATGCAAATACCGTGAAAATCTATAAAATATTCACTTAAAGTAGTTTCATATATGCAAACATGTTTAGGTCTAGTAAAATGTAAGAAAATTTACATGTATTGCAGCCACTAACTTAACATCATTTTGCAATTTAAAAATAACGAAATTACATAAGCGATAATAGCTTGTACATATATACAAATAATATTTTCAATATTTCATGCGCAAGTGTTGCGCAATCATTCACAAAACAATTATTGAAATGCGACTTATATACAACTTTGTTTTTAATGGCTCTATTTTGACTTGGCGCTGCATGATCTGTACACACTATAAAAAATGCAGTTAATCTGCATTTAATCTCAAAACGCTTTGGCATTGGCGCTGCATAACATTCGCTAGTTTCCGAAAAACTCGAAATTGTTTGTCGCGCTTTCACACTCACTTTTTGTTTGTGTGCAAATTTACATAACAAAAACAGAAAAAACGGACGCTTGCAAAATGCTTAAAAYTAATATGATTTTATACCAAAAGTTTAGTAAGATTTTTTTTTGCTTTCATTTTTCCGACATTCATTTCACTTAATTTCATATGCTCATTTTATTTTTTTTTTAACTTATGTATGCTTACGTAAGTGAGTTTGTTCAGTTTTTCCTTTGCATTTTTCTTCGTTTTTTTGTTTTTTGTTTTTGTTTTTGTAGTAAACAGAATATTTTGTTTCACTTGCTTTACATAGTTAATTGCATTTTACCACTATAATTTTTGTAATTATATAGTTAATTAATAGCTGGCCTCATGGCCGGCTAGAATGTAAAGATCATGTCCCTCCTCGCTGCCCAGCGAACCGGTGCGCAGCAATTGACTCTCCAAAGCGACGACTCTGCAAAGCGAAGACAAAGAAACAAATTAGTACTTTCTACTCTAACGGCAATGGAGTAAGGCAATTACTTATCACAGCCGAGCAGTCGATATGTACGACTCATGTCCTTGATTTCTTGCGTTATTTCGCCGTTGCGCAACGACTTACCCTGCATGCCGTGCTTGTGAAATGCTAATACGCTATCGGGTAGACAAACTGCAAGAATAAGCAGAAAACTCCAAATAATAATTGCAAAGAACACACGCACACAAATAACAGAATAATTAGTTTCCTTAATTCAAAGTGGCCTTGACCGTTGCATGGAGCACTCAGGAGTTTGGCAATTCGCAGCTACATTGCTACCTACCTATGCTATCCACATTGAAATCGAAATTGAGTTGCGAGACCAATTTCTTGTGTTGCTTTGGATTACCCTGTAGCGTGACGACTTGTATGATGTTGCCATAGCAGACCAGTATCGCATCCTTTTCGACCTGATGCACCTTCACCACTTTCAACAGATCTCTTCGTGGTACCATTGTGGCCGTTGCATCGAAGTCCAGATCGTCTGAATGGAACCAGCTGGCGCCTAAAGAAAAAAGCCATGTAATGAAATATTARTAAATGTGGTAAAAGCGCTCACTATTCATATTGATCAGCTCGAGCTTCAGGCAGCCGTTGAGTGCCTTTCGCACACCCGTGCAGACAATCGGATATTCCAGCTCCGGCGTAATGATCATCTCGAAGACGGGTGTGTGACCGTTTAGCACACAGCCATGTCCACCGCCCAGTATRCTCGATGCCGGCCACTCGCATTGYTTAAGCAGCATGAATTTRTTCAGCGGATCGTACCATTGCATGAGGAATATGCCACTGGGCGTGGCACCGCACAARTACTTGTAGCCGTTATAGGGATTCCTTGTTACACAGCATTGGGTGCAGCCCTTGGTGTCGGGCACCTTTGTGGTGAGTGCGAATTTGCGCGGGACCAGTCTTTCCGGTATTTTGTTCATGTGCAGCGAGAAACGGTGCGTCTGCTTGGAATGTAACGCAATCAGGTCGTGTCGATACAATTGACAAGATTTGCCTGGACATAGAACAACGGTTAGCAAGTGCAAATTGTGGACTTTTCAAATGTTGCTCACCTGATAGACTCATGAGTACGTCCTTAATCACATACAGCCAGGTGGTGCGACGCGGAAATAGCTGATCGATGACGGCATCGTGCAGCTCGTTCATGTTTAGGTTGAAGATGCCCTCGTCGGCGCCGATGAGTAGATGCTGGTCGCGCGTTTCGGGATGGATCCATGAGGCTGTGCAGTGTATGCGTAGGGGACAGCCATTGAAGATTTTCGAAAAGCATGCGCCCATATGCACCTTGGGCGTGGGCGGTAGGCCATTGGAGATGGGGCGTGGCGGGGTGTGGCGGCGACGATGTGAGCGTTTCGGAGGCACGGGAGGCGTATTATTGAGCAGATCCGGTTGCACTTCTTTCTCCACTGCAAGACAATATTTAGACCAAATTTATTGACATGTGGAAGGATACTGGAAGAAAAGAATTGCTTTTGTGTTACCTTCGTCGTCTTGTGTGCCGCCATCGCTGAGACTGCGTGTTCTCGACGACTTGCCCATGTCATTGAGCAGGCCAATCAGCTGATCCATTGAACTGTGGCGGCGTGGTGAGTCCTCCAGACCATTCTGTAGTACAATGAGAAAGTGAAAAAGAGAATTGAACTTCTCATTCAACGAGGGCGTCCAGTTTGCACATACGCACCTGATTACTCTCATGCCTATAATCACAATTGCTGTTGTTGCTGCCGCCGATCGCTTGCCCCGATGTGGGCGTACACTCTCCCGACAACGGAGCCGCCGCGCCGGCAGGGATGGCCGATACGGACGACGTTGATACGATTGCACTAGTTGTTGTTGGCGAATCGGTCACCGAAGTGTTGCTATTAAAATAATTGGTGCCATTATTACGCAGCAAATTAGTGAATAAATGTGACGTGGAAGCAGAGGAATGCATAAGCACATCACGAGCAAACACGGACGAAGATGACGATRGCGATGGGGACGCGCCAACACCGCCGACACCACCACTAACACCACCAAAACCACCAGCACTACCAACACTACCACCTCCGTTACTCCTATCAATTCCTAACATACCAACACCACCACTTCCCCCGCCACCATTAGTACCACTAACACTCCCGCCTAAGCCTATGCCAAAGCCACCGCTTCCAACACCACCGCCGATGCCGCCGCCGCTTTCGCAACTCAAATTGTCCAATGGATTGTACAAGGACGAGGACAACGACGTGTACTGCGATTGACCATTTAACTTTGYCGGCGCCCCAACTGCGGTTCCATAGGAGTTGCTGGACGTGGATGCCGACAGGCCGGTGGCGCTAGTTGAGCGCGAATTTATATTGCTGCCGCTGCCGCTGCCGCTGGCGCCGCCATTGCTGTTGCTATTACGGTTACTGTTGTTGGTGTAGTGCATGTAATGATGATGATGGTGATAATGTGCCTGCTGTTGGTGGTGGTGCCGCGCATCGCTGTCATGGTTGGCGTTATTGACCACAGCATCAACCGACGTTGTGCGCATGTTGGAGAAGCCGAAACTCAGTCCTAAATAGGCAGACATCGAATGGCCCAAGCCGCTMGCGCWAGTAATCGAGCTGACACCGTCGCCACCATTCACAGTRGCAGCTGTCGATGGCGCCGCGGAAGTTGCGCTGGAGCTGCTGATGTCGTCGGGCACGGTTGGCGCTACGGCATCGTTGGCGCCGCTGACGCCACCGTTTTCATTGCCATTGCCATTACCATTGATATTGCCGTTGCCATTACCGTTGCCGTTGCCGCCATTGTGCGCGCAGTGGCATTCGGTGCTAAGCAGATCTTTGGTATCGGTTAACGGCAGGGTGGCTCTGTAAGGATGTGAGCAGTGAGCAGTGATCAGCAATCAGCGTGCGCGCGCGTATCGAAAAAACGTGTGATGAGCGATTTGGGTGACACCGAACACAAAATGGTGACGAGCGCATGAAGGTGAGAGCGGGAGAAAAGATATAAAAGGCGACAAATGAGCAGTGATTGCAKTGGGAGCGCTTGTGCGCCTAAAACTAGGCTATCTTATACATGTTTCTATATTATTCGATACTTTTGATAGTTCAGATACATGTGTATGTATGCATGTATGTGGAAATGCAATGAGGCGAGTTGATGTGTTGTGCTGAGTAAGGTACATAAGTTCTGGTTTATATGCATTTTATAATTAATTGTTATTTTTTGTTGTACAACTGTTACTTAGTAAGCGTTTTTGAGTTCAACCCCATAACATATACAATTCTACTCATTGAATACAATTAATACAGTTATGCGGACGAGAGATTAGTGCTGCACTTGTTGTTGTTATTTTTGTTAATGAAAATTAGTGAATTAAATGGAATGTATTATTGAATTATTAGTAAAGTGTGTGTATGCAGCCAAATTATATTCGACAACAATACATACCGTTATTTCGGGCAAATGAAAGAAATAATGTTCACATATTAATAAAAAAAAAAGGTCGAAAGTTATGTTATGCACGTATACACATGCATGTGTGAATGGTATGTATGCAAGTATGCGATTACTTAAGGAAACACACACACAAATAGTAGGCATGCGGAGACTCTCGAACTAAACCGACGACGATTACTTGATTGGTTGCTGTGTGGAGTTTGGTGATTTTGGTTGTGTCGCTTTTGGATTTTGGTGTGTWATTGACTGTTTACTGTTTTATGTAACCCTTAAGCATAAAAAATAAATGCGAAAATTTCGCAGGGTGTTACATTTAGAGACTCGTGCTAAGTTGTCTGCAGCTAAACCAAACAAAAATTAGTTTGTATGTAAACTATTGGATGTCTTAAATGAAATCGTTCGGTTAGCAATTTGGTTTACGCCGAATTTGCCCCAATTAATTTCGGTATTACTGTGCAACTATTAGACTCAAAATGTAGCAAGAACATACGTTATATAATCAAGCATTACTGCTTGAAAAAAAAAAAAAAAAAAATGTATGATTTCTCTTGTATTTGGAAAATTTACAAACATAATTTTAAAAAATTTATAAAGTAAACAGTGTAAGTAAGTGTGTATGTGTGTGTATCACCTAAATATAATTTTTCTCCCATTCGTTTGTTTTTCTTTCTTTATGGATCAGACACACACACAGCAAACGAATTTTCATATTTTACACATTGCTGCTGCTGGATCAAGCCGCAGTCAATAATAAAACAAAAATAAAAGTAAAAGAAAAATACAAAAAAACCAAATAAAACAACGGGAGAGATGGATGGAAAGGTTGACATGCGAATTTTGCGTTAGACACTGAAATCACACACATATACTACAATAAAGAAAAATAAGCAAACTTATAGAGCGCAGTTATWGAGATATGTAGCATACATAAATTACATTAATACACCATAGACAAACAGACATAACGATGTACGCTAATATATACATATACAAAAACAAGCAAGCAAGAAAAAAAGAACACAAGAAGCGAGAAAAACCGTTCACTTCGGCTGCAGCGAAGCTATAATACCTTTCAGAAATAGCGAAGTTAATATACAAGAACTTGATTTTGAACACTCAGTTCGTATGATAGCTAGCGTTGCTTTGGAAAATAAGTATATAGGGTAGTCGAAGGAGTCTTTTCGTATTTTTAATCAAACTTCAACTTATTTTTTTATATTATAATGAATTTTAATAAATCAGATTTGTACCATTTCGGTTAACCATTTCTACGCTAGAGACATTATTCAGTGTAAAACTTTACTGGTTTCTCGGCGAAAATCTGTGAATTTTCACAGGCTTCTCTCGAAGCCATTAAGTGAATCCGAAATACATATATAGCAGTCAGATGGTGCAAGATCGGTGCTATATGGTGGATGCATCAAAACTTCCCAGCCAAGCTCTCTTTAAATGATTCAAAACCGTTTGATGATGAATATTAAGTTCCTTAGCGATATCATGGCTACTTATGTAACGGTCCTAGCCAATCTTTTCCATAGTTTCATCGACTTTTTGAACGATAGGTCGACAAGAGCGAGCTGCATCTTTCACATAGAAATTTCCATTTCGTGTTGAATTACAAAATTTCACAAATTTCATTGCTGCTTGAGGCTTTGCGCCTCATTAYTTTCACTTACTTTTGAACTGCTATAATTTTTTTCAACTTCTCCGAATTTAATTTTTTGGTTAAAATCTCCAACACTATATGGTAGGACACAATTAGCAGCAGTAACGACATCTATCGGCAAAATACGAAAATACTTTTTCGACTACCCAAGATAACTATAACGCTGTCTTACACTTATTTTGGTGCTTAAGATTTTATAYCTGATTTTGGATGTATAGTATTTTGTGAGTTGATACGAGAAAAAAGTCACATTTTCCATATCAGCTCTTGTTCATAAGAAAGAAAAAGAAAATATCTAGTAGCGGGAATGTGGTTCATCCTACCTACTATACCGACTACTGATGCGCACAGAGCTGCACCAAACCAAACATTTTTTTTGTTTTTTGTAGGCCAGTGTAATTTTAGGTGAAATATTCACTATCCAAGTTCAGAGTTGCTGCTCTACATATTGTCCACACAGACAGTGCATATGCTGAGTCGGCAAATATTGCGGAATGTGGAATGCTAGATATCGGACGACATGTGTTCTTTTCTCAAAAACATATAAAAAACTTAATGTATTGGAAATTATGCGGAGCATAGATAGAGGGACAAAGAACTCGCAAAGTGCTAAAAGCATGCACACCAGCACCAACACAGCTGCAATACACAAATATGGATTTCTGCGCGATTAGCGCTGTGAAGGCAGCGGCCTGCGCAATTTCCATGCAACGGTGTACAAGAGAATTATCTATTTTGTCTATAACTAGCATGCGAGGAGGGGTATGCTAATAAAATATACACAGAAAGCGAAAATAAATTGCATATAAACAAGAAATTGATGGGTGAGGAGTGAGTGTAAGGGTCATATTGGATTTTATGAATTATGGCCAATTTGATGATGCTTGCTTGGGGAAATATGTGGGTGGATGTGTGTGTGTTTTGTACTGTGCAAAATCATATGTGAGGCGATTTACGATCATAATTAAGTTCAATCRGGCAAAATTGTGCATTTGAAGGAGTCCTGAAATATTTCGCTGAATTTCTTTTGTCATGCCACAATTAAATGAAAGAATTTATATCAGCAGGAAAGAGAGAAAAAGAGAGAGAGAGAGAGGCAAAAAATATTTTTTATTCAAGCCCAGTTTAAGCGATACTTGAATACCTTCTCTCAGTGGGAAAACCCGTAGGAAAGTGTATAAAGTTGAAAGCATAATACAACATAAATTTCAATTACGTTAAATTAATAATTCACTGATTCAGCGGCTTTTGTGAATAATTATTTAATTAATTTTCTCTGCAACTTTCAGGTCAACTTAAATGCACAAGCTTGCGAGGGTGACTCGCAGGTTTTAAGTTTAGCTGATATTCGATAATAAATTATACGGTATAATAAAACATAAATAAAAGTAATAATTAATWAATATAAATAAAATAAATAATAAAAACAATAAAGTGTTTAGCTTCATCTCGTTTATGGCAAAAGCTGCGCTCGTGCATGATGGCAAGAAATGTTGCGTATGACTATGAATATCTGAATGACGTTTTCTCCATTCTACTCATAAGTAGAACACTAACTTTAGCATTGCGACACGATTGGTGAACATTTGGGGGGGAAATTATCCAAAAAATTGATATTTCGCACGCTATTTGCAGTAAACGTGCTTATAGTTGTATTTGTAAATCTTTGTTGTAGTTATTATTGTAAGTATTTACCTTAGCTTTAGCTCCTCATCAATATACTGTAAGAGGCTCCTACAAGTAACACAAACAAAATGCAAGAAGAAAAAAACAACAAAAACGGCATAAGAATGAGAAAATACATCAAATACAGCAAAATTCAAATATTCTTTCAAATGCTGTGGCAAAAACAATAAGWTATAAATTAAAATATTGTACAAGTAATTTCTTAATTCAACAAAAACTAAAAGTTAGCAAAGACGCTTGTTTCTTCGGAAAAGTGTTAAAAAGCAAAACAAAGAGCTGTTAGGRGGAAGAGAAGGCAGGATATGCTAATGGCAGAGTAGTGGTTGGTGACAGTTACGAAGAGAGCAAACGTGCAAAGAACTGTCAAATATAAATTAATTAAATTGAAAAACTTAAAATTTTGAGGTTAGGTGTACGCGCTGTCACGGGGCGAGGAATTCAACTTTGGCTGCGGCACTTCATTTACTCGCGTAAATTGCAGAACGCAGGCGAGACCACAAAAATGGCAAAGTAAAATAGAATGTTTGCTCGCGCTCATAAATTGGAAATTGTAGTTTCAATATTGCAGAGAAATAGAAACAAAAAATGGGAAATAAATATCAAATGAAAATAAGGTCATAAGTATATATCTTTTGGAATTCAAAGCTTGTATGCGTGTGTACGAGCGCTTTTGAGCGCCGTCTTTATGGCCAAATTATTGACAGCTGCCTGACGGTCAGAGTGTGTGAGTTAAGTGCAGAAGGCATTTACAAGCGTCCAACGCCAAAAAGTGAAGGTGAAAGCAAAAGGGGCACGTGTAATCGCCTTAAATGCTGCTTCATTTTTGGGTTTGTAGTGTTTCCATGTGTAATATGACTCTGGCGGAGCCATAAGTGAGAGATACTAGCTACAGAAAAAAAAAAATAGAAAATAACAAGTTTGAATAAATAAAAATTGCTAATTAAAAAGAAAAAAACTTTGGTTGACGCAAACAAAAACAAAAAAACGAAAATGTTCAAAGTATTTACTGCGTTGGTGGCTGGGACATTTTTTCGGCTGATGTGCTAAGAGGTTGTGAGGTGTCCTCATTAAGAATTTCAGTTCACACATTTTCCTATTTTTTGCTATTTTGACACACAGTCGCAAAATGACCGTACATTATTGTAATTAATAAAAAATCAGGAAATAATTGGGTAGTCGAAAAAGTATTTTCGTATATCAAATCAAACTTCAACTTAAAAGATAAGTATATAGTTTATACTAATAAATGAATAAGCAAATATGTACACTTTTTGCCATTTTCCGCTAGACATTATTCCATCAGTGTAAATCGAAATTTCGCAATTTCCATAACGGAAGCGAGTGAACCATTGTTGTGCTACACGAACTGATACAGCATCGTCTTCGYAAACTTCGCAAATTTCATTGATGGCATTCTTCTTCCCTTTTTTATACAGAAATTTGAAAATATAGCGAATTTCTTCATTACTTTTCACTCATTTTAGAACAGCTGTAACTTTTTTTCAACTTTCCCCAATTTTTTTTTTTTTTTTTTTGTTAAATGAAACTTGAAATCTTACCTTTCCAGCTCTATATGATATTACACAATGTGATTGGTAGCACTGGAGATATACGACTTCAACGACATCTATTGATAAAATACGAAAATACTCTTTCCACTACCCAATATTTGCAAAACTAAATAAATTTAAATGCTAGAATTGGTTTAAGCGTTGCGTTTACAAAAGAGCCAAAATTGCAATTTAAATGTCTACATAATTTYATTCATTTAATATTATTACATTATTCAATTAAATATATTTCCTTTTTCAACTTTTTTTGTAACGCTTTCGTTGTCCATTAATATCTTAGCGAAAACATATCGACCACAGTTTATATAACATCAGCGCGGCATTAAAAAACTACCAACAAAATGTTGTTTTTTCAGCRCAAATGAAAGTATTTTACTTTCAAATTTTTTCATAATTCAACCCCGCGCACGCCTCTCTAATCCCTTATCACACATTCGGCCCCAAAAAGCGAGTAAATCATAGATAAACGCGCCAAATAGCTAAAATAACGAAGTGAATTAGTAAATTGCATGAAGGGAAAACTGGAAAACTTTGGCGAAATTGCATTCAACGCGTTGCCAACTGTACGGACGGTATGCCGACGAGGAGTTTATAATAATCATAGTGCATTAGGGCTAAACATGCGATAACAGGATGCAGGAAAAAATAAAATGAAAACGAAAAAGTTAAAATTCAAGCGCGAAAATAGGAAAATCGTAAATAAAAAAATTAAAGTGAAGCAAATAACGCAAATTACTGCATTTGCGCGCTGATATTTCGCACATATTGCACACACACACACGCGCGAGAGTTTCCAACACAACTATACATGCATACACACAACAGTTGCCAGCGGCAATAAGCAATTTGCTAAGCGGAAATATAACTGGTTGCGAGGCGCGCGAGCAGCACAAAAAGTGCATTTTTGGATTTTTAATTTTTTTTGTGGCTTGGCCGCGCTAGCAAGTCGTCCAGCATTTATTTGGTGGCACATTGACAGGCGCTTTTCATCAATACGCCGGCGTGCCAGCAACAAACCGGAAGCAATTAGGTGCGAAAATAGCAGCCGAGATGCCAGCAGAAATGCGAAACATAAAGTCATGCATGCAGCAGCGCAAGGAACGCTTTTGAAGTAACCAAAAAATTAACATTGCAAACAAAAGCACTGAAGCGAGATTGCTGTGCATTGAACTCTGTACTTGTGCGTATTGTGCGTGTATTTGTGCTGTGTTTGTGTGAGCCAACCTTAAGGACATGTTCATAATCAAAGTACCGGTGAGCTTTTGTCGCCGCACTGCAGCTGCTAAAGGACTAAAAATAAAGAAAAACGAAAAGTTGGTGGAGAAAATTATATTTTCAAAAGTAATTACCAGATAATAAGGGTTAAATCGAACTCAACTGCGTTTAGTGAACTCGAAGAAAACAGAAGCAAAAGAAATGAAAAAAAGTTTCAGCAAAACTGTGATGATGTTGTTGTAAACCAAATTCACGTTGAAGTGAAAGTAAAAAATGAGCGAGATTTCGAAGAAGCCGTTTGGCAGTGTGTATGGAGCGTGATTTGATTTTCTTTTTCTGAAAAACTATGCCGATGTGTATGTATAGGTGTGGTGTGATTATTGAACAATGTGTGCGTGTATGTATGTATGTATGTGCATATAAATAATGTGTTTGTTATGYTCCCCAGTGGGCGTATGTATATGCTTGGCACATGTGTTGTGTGCAGTTATGCGCGCCAAAATGTAGGCAAGAGTGTGCAGATGTGTGTCAAACTCGAGGGAATATATGTGGCGGAAATAATACATGACAGCGAAGCTTAGTGGAAAAAAATCGTTTTAGTGTTGTTATGCGGTTGTTGTTTTTGTTGTTACATTCAATATACGACGTATAAAGCAATTATGTAGACAAACAGGAAATTGAAGTATACTTTCAGGCATTTCACAGACACATTTAACACGGCAAACGTGTAACAGCGAAAAAAAAAAGCAATTTTATTTTCCTTTTTTGCTTTGGCAAATTGAAAAATACGGTAAATATTTGTATATGTACGTAGAAGTATGTACTATACACTACAATACATAGCGAAATAATGAAATGAAATGAATATACGTACATGTCGCTGGGCAAAGTTTCGGGACTAGATGAGCGATCATTCCATTGCGAATTCGTTGTCATGCCTGCAATAGAAAATCAGTTAATTTCATACATAAGTATATAACACGTATATATGTGCATATGAGTAGCTTAAACGCTACTTGGAAACACTTAAACAAAAACCGCCGCATATCACTTAAATGCTACTCCACTTGAAAGCAAAAACCCAAAAGTGCCCCAGTAAAGAAGAAAGCAAAACGCGCTACAGTAGAAGGGTACAGCACGCATTGGAAAGGGGAGTATACCACAAATATGCTTAAGCATCATTACCTCTACTTCCTTTAAAGAAGCGAGCACAACTACGCGGTTTACTCCCCCCTCCAAGCAGAGCTGCAGAGATACGTGTTTGTAGGGTGTATATTTCGCTAAGATTACGTACATAAGCACGGATGAGGTTAACTGTGAAACACTTACCTGTTTTCAAAGTGTGATTTTGCGGTGAAATACCATTTGGCCTTGATGTCATTTTGCTCGCTATTCGTTGYGGTACGCTGGCGACAGTCTATTTTGGCATTTCGTTTATTTATTTCAAGTGGTTGCCGTTGTTATAGTGGGTGTTGTTGTTAGTTACAGATATTGGTGACCAGCGCACAGTGCATGGAGCCGAAGGTCGACATTGGAGCAGATCGAACAGACGCGGAGCGCCATAAAAGGAAATTAAAAAAGAGTCAAAAAATTAATTCAAGTTGCAATTCAATTTATTATATATRCGGCAGCATGTCAATGTCGATTTTATGCAAGAAATTATTGTAAAAAAGGCATATTTATTAAATAGTTCTCCCAAAATTGAAAGWAGAAACATAAATTTCAACAATTATCTAATTTTGTATCCGAATTTGGAGTATTTCTTGTTGGCACTTGCGGACCTTATGCCGCTCCCCATGCAATAGAGATGGCACTTCAATGTCCTCATATAAAATTTATCGACYTGAGTATTCTTAAAATCAGCATCAATGGCAGCAGCCACAATCGGCCTGCTTCAAAGTGCCCTACAGCGGGAAGGGGGCTTGTAAATTGGATAGTATTTGTAGCAATCAATCCATCAATAAATGCTCTTACAATTTTACTAATGAAAGAAATATGCAAATAAAATAAAATATTCGTTTACGCAAATTGACAAAGGGACTCAGCAACTGACYGACTATCTATATAAATTGATGAAAWTTTCTGCATTTCCATGTATTTGTGCGAGCATACACGTGAGCAGAGATCGAAGCTGAAAGGAAATTGRTTAAATTTGTAGARGACTACATGTAAACATGAAGAGTATTTCATATTTTAAAGTTTCATTTGAAAGAAAAATGGTAAGAATGTCCAAATCCCTTCAATAACACAGAGGCAGCGAGCTGAAGGGAGTGTAAACGCGCAAGTGAACTTGAATATTTGCTTGCGAGCGGTTGTTAGAAATAAAATGTTATATTTAGTGCGTCTGTATGTATGTATATGCATTGGTAAATGTTTTCCTCAGCTTTCAGAGCGCAGCGAAAACAAAAAGCAAAATGAAAACTATAAAAATATTGCACGCAATCAGGCTTCAGCTGAATTTCAACAAAATTCTGTGGCGCGCAGTTCAATTGCCGAAGCGGCAGCTTAAAAATAATAATATTAGTGCGCCACCATGGCCACCAACGCCACCGCAAATGCCTACGAGCCTAGCTGGTGCTTATAAAGYTYCATTTCCAGCCGCCGCATTTCGATGTGTTGCCTTAAGCTTCATTACTTACACACACATGGCCATACACATGCTGATAGCGCATCAGMWAGTGGCATTGTGTGCGTGCACAAGTACGCGCTTCCACCATGGCCTTAGCCGCAGCCGCAGTATGCACATAAATCTAAAATGTTTACCTAACCATCAATAAATCTAATTGAGTGCCGAAATGACAAAAGCAAGGCAAAAGCAATCTACTAAAGTGTGGGAAATGTGAAAGACTTCAAAAACTACTTCAAATCCATTGAAAATGCTAAAAATTTTATTCTTTTCGGATTTTTTTGAAAAAAAAAAAAAACACACGTAATTAAAGCAACCGTTAGCAAAGGTCTGGCGCCCGATAGACGCGAGCACGCSAGTGTCACAACAAGGTCGTTTGGTACACGAAAAATAACGGTTGGGGCCTTAAACAAGACAACAATTGCGTCCTACAGCTTCCCTTAGCTTTCAAAGCACATATACAGACATATGMACATGAGAAGTTGTCATCGATGGCGGCACACAAAGGTTGTCGGTTTTAGAAAATCTAAACAGAAAACTTGTCACCGAAAAGTCACATTTATCTTTTTCAACTCACACCACCTACCACAAATTGCAGCTCAAGTCCCGTTGTGTGGTTGTATGGGTGTGTGTATGTGCCTTGTAGTCGACTGTCAAAAATACCAGCTCTCACTACTGGTAATGACATATACACATCTAGATGTGTGTGTATGTGCCTTGTAGTCGACTGTCAAAAATACCAGCTCTCACTACTGGTAATGACAGTCGCAAAGTTCGAAGGTCCAATAAATTATAGACGTCCGCCTAAAATCGTAGGCGAGACAGGCATATATATGTGGAAATTTTACCCACAGGTTTAATATTGAGCGAACTGGCATATTCCTTAAACCATTTTATTTTCGTCAAAAAGACGTATTTTTTCAACTTTGCTGAATCAAGCTTCTCCTAAACACTCCTATAATCATCGCGATAAATCCTACAAATAAGTCTGCCACTGTGATTCCACCTTTATGCGTTTATTGTTGTTTTTGTAGCGGCAGAAAACACTCCCCCAATCGTACAAAAGAATGCTGTCGAGGTTAAAATTCGGGTTCGTTTCGGTAATGTAGACTATACCATCGTGTGTCACTCAAAAGCCGTGGACAACAAACTGCCTCTACCTCTTTATTCAAAGCCAGAAATCCCAAAACTTGTGCTTTAAAACAAAGCATATTTATATAGCATTAACTTTAAGTTTTAAACGATATCCTTACATATGCTGGGCTTTGAAATTTTTCGAAGAATTAACACAGCTTGACGTCGTTTAGTGTAAACTACCATTAAGTAGTCAGATATTTTCCACTCACCTCTTCTTCCCCGTCCAAATAGTAGTAGAACTGCTGATTGGGACTCAAGAACTTTTGCAGCAACTCCTTGGCCACACGCACCGACATGTCGCCCTGCACGAATGGATGCTTCAGYARGCATTCGGCGGTCGGACGCTTTTTGGGATTCTTCGTCAGCGCCGTCTTCACGAAATTGTGAAATGTGGTGCTCCACTTCTCCTTGTTGCTCAATGTGGGCGGTTTGAAACCACTTTTCGACATTAGGAACAACGCACGCATCGGATGCAAATCGAACATTGGCGGCTGAAGTTCGGCAAGTTCTGCAAAAAATAGAAAGCAATCACGAAAATTACAAAGGATCTTCAGTGCGCAGCTGAAAGATGTAAATGTTGGCGTATAMATTTTTTTATTGAAACATGATGATTGGTTCATGCAGGGGATTTGCAAATAAATACACAGATTTCACGAGACAATTCATCTTACGACGACAGAGAGGCACTAGCACTTATATTCTTCGGCATCCGTTGGTCATTATCATAAAGTAGACATATACGCTGCACAAATTGTATTGGCTGTGACAAACGTCAAACACAATCGCCATAAAAATTAAGTAGAAATAATTGTGGGCCATCTTGGAAGGCGTGCGGCTCCCCTTTGCCTGCGCGGCGGCGGGTGTCTAATGAAATTAATGTTTAGCCATTACGGGACCAACGAGCTGATGCTTCAGTGCGTGAGCACGCATGTCCAAGACATATTAGAAATATATGTGCCCATAAGTCGCATAYCACCCACACACAGGCGCACGCACACGCACCTACACGAGCCTAAGTCGCTTTCGTGTGTGGCTGTGTGTTGCAGTTGTGGCTTTATTGAAATGCTGCGGCGAGTGAACCTATTGAAAGTGCAATAACTTAGGTATCAACTCCCGGCGTACAACTTTATTTACAACAACAACAACAGCTACATGTCCTCGGCTGAGAAATAATTTATGACGCTCGCAAATTACATGCGTGGATCGTCGTTGTTGTAAAGTGTGTGCTTTGAAATATTAATGGCAAACGTGCCAATTGAAATGATGAAAAACTTACCAATTGCCGTTATGCCAACCGCCCATATATCACATAATTGATTGTAGCCGCCTTTACGCTCCACAGCGGCCACCTCCGGCGCCATCCAATACGGTGTACCTGCACAAAAGAGATAGAGAGAATGATTGTGATGAGAAATGTATGCGAATAATATTGTTTAAATTAAGAAGGTGTCATAATTTTCAGTTCAATTAAATTAATTTTTTTTTTGATTTCGGCGCAAAGTAACTGCCGTTTAATTGAGTTACACACTCGCACTTCACAGCTGCAGTCACTCATGACGCTGATCACTCAGCACGCCTAGCTCTCGTCCGGCACCGATGTGCTGTGGTTTATTTACAGTATTTTAATTACAAGTTGATTTAATGAATTTGTGGCAGCAACAACTTCGAACAAACTTGCAATTAGTATTGCTGCATAAATTATAGCCGAGGGCAACAGCAGGCACAACAACCGCACGCCATGCACAGAGGGCCCAGCAGTCAAAGTTATGGCACTCTGGGTGCACATGGCGTATGAGTGATGCGAGTTCGCCCGACAAGTGACTGAAAAATTCGCCAAAAGTTAGTTGGCTAATAATGCAAGCAATACAACTAATACGAAAGCACGGTATTGCGGTTTTTAAATGGCTTATTGATTTTTTTTTATTAAAAATAAATATAAATAAGTAAAGGAAATCAGCGGTAGTTTAGGTAGGTCAAAGGGAGAAAAGACAGTTCAACATATTTTGCCACAAAATCGATGTAGAAACACCGTAATATTTACAGAACCTGAAATTGTGCACCTGATTTGCACATAAACTAGTCAAAATCCCTTTCAGTTTCCAAATACCACATACATATYAAAATACTARTTATATCACTTCGCTCAACCACCACATTGCCGTTGCGTCAGCTGCAYACTTRCTGCAACACACAGAAKGCGTGTCGTGTCGTGTGAGCTTGAATTTACTACAATTTATACATTTAATTGGCGACATAGTTGAAAGGAGCATGGCATTTGGACAAGCAGAATATGCACGAGTAATAATTAATTCAATTAAATTGCTGTTAAATTCAACCGAGAAATTCTACAGATTCCCACAATATTTGAGGACAAACTAATGGCAAATARAATGTAATAAAATGCGATTTAATGTAACTCTGCCTGCAGATATTATCACATTGCTGCATTTAAGTGATGTTAGCAGGACAMGAATTTCAAATATGTTTAGGTAGTGTTCTCGCCTCMAGTGTTCTGYAAAGKAGCCGCTTAAATCGGTCTGCTACTGTTWGAACATTTCAGTACACTTCGCTCTAATACTCAGCAAAACATAAAAATGATGCAAAACTAAGGATTTGGCTTAAATACACCAGGACAGCAAGAAAACAAACAAATCAAATTGCCCTCCGTGCATCTATCATCTTTCAACGCGTGCTTGCTGAATGGGCCTCAATAAAGCGCACATCACTCATACGCAGTGTGGCCGTAGAATAAGCGCCGCAGGGTATGTGCAACTGTGGATATGCGGTTATTTGGCACACAAAGCCAAGTGAATGCACGAGTGGTCGGGTGACTGAATGAMTRAATGAAATACTGTCGGTTTATAACGCACTGCGGCGCTCGTTTTCAGCAGCARGAGCTTAAGAATGCAGCCAATTGGGGGTGCGTTTARAGGGTGARCAGTGGTGCGGCTGATCTCTGGCAAATCCACCGCCAAAACTAGCACTTGAAATATCACTGAACTTTTAAGCYACCGCAGTAGTTGTGGGGACTGCCATCTGCTGCATGATGAYGCAGCCGGATGCAAAGAAATKKCGGGGAAGGCAAGATATGGCAGGAAGCAAGGTAAAAATAAAAATTCGAACAAGTTCTTTGAACTAAGATGACATGTCAATAAAGGCACTTAAACGCTGGCATTTGCTCAGTGTRACAGTACGGGCGGCGAGCAGKACAACAACTGCCACAAAAGCAGCGAGTACGGTTGGCACAGAAAAGCGTGTACTAAATAAAAGCATTTTAAGCTGAATGCTGTGCGATGCATAGCAATGCAATGTGCACCAGTGCTCAATAGCAGCTGACATGAAAGCGCGATGAGGATGTCCCCACAGCGTTCTGCGCCGCTGATGTCAGAAATGCGTGGTGGGAGTTCTCGAAGAATCCGTCTATGCGGACTTAGCGCCACAGTAGCCAGCGAGCAGTCGAACAAGTATATAGTAYCTCGTTAAGTTAAATATAAATGTTAATTCAAAGTATTACGACAGAAGAACACACATGCGAGTAGTTTAAAACGAGTTGTCGGCCCACGACTGCTTRATGCGCAGTTACTTAGTTATTAAAGTGGAACAGCCGGCGKCAGCAGAGGTTAAGCAAATACACACTCAGTCTTAAGCGTTGAACGGGCAAGAGGTAAGCCRTAGAATTTTCAGACAGACATAATTTGTGCCATTCTACATATCTTTTCTCTGAATTTATTGGATGCCTTTCAAACATTTGTCAACCTATTGAAAATATTTTATTTCTACTACTAGAGGGAAATGTGGGCCAGAAGACGAACTTAAACTCCATTTAATATGCTCCCTAACTTACTACACGCTTAATTTTTTTAATTTATCAAATACAAAAATATGATATTATAATACATAAGCAATTTTTTTTTTTTCTAAAATCAACATTTATGAAAGATGCGTTGCGATGAGTGCGCGTTCGCTGATAACGCATGAGTACTTTGTGTAGTTGTCATCCGGCAGCGGACACTTCCAACTTGCAGGTAGTTGTCGCAAAGCCAGCACAAGCAGCCAAGGCCCCGTTGGCTGATGGAAACGCTGATGAGCATATTATATGAGTGTTTTGGTAGCAACGCATGTGTCACGTGAGAAGTGTGGCAAGCAACAGGGGTCTCAACTCATATTGTCTCTACGTAGATAGGCATGTCATGTCCTGTTCATATTTAAGCACTGCCATGAGAATCACTTTAAAGCTTACAAGCACACAAACGCACACACTCGTACTCAGTCGTACAAATTCGCACACACATACAGTTGCTACAGTCGCAGCAGGCATGGGGGCGGCTAAGTAAATGTTATTGTACCAACGGCAGCTGCAGGTGATGTTMCGTATACGCAGCGTGGCACAAGAAAAGAACGAGTTGCTTCGTCGAGTCTCTTCGTTTCATGGAGGTAATGCACTTTTGCATGCATTTTTGYAGAGTTGAAAGGTTACTGTTCCACTAATGTAAGTTCTTTGTCGTTGCTGCCGTTGTCCTTGCCGAGTTCATACGAATTTCCTGGCAAACCTGGCAAACTGCTTTGTTAGCGCGTACCAGAGTACATAGCATGTTTGTGTGCGTGTGCGTGTACWTGTTGGCGCTTGTGTACTACCGTTTAGTGTCATTAACAAGTCAGCAACAAAGATGCAGCATGGAAATCACAGTCATCCGGTGGCAGAGAGAGAAAACACCGAGACGCCAACTGCTGTTGATGTGCAGACTTGCTCTTCGGTAAAGGGTAGCAGACAAAAACATCATCATCTACAACAACAATTGACTAACGGCCCACRTCATTAACACCAAACAAACATTTGTTGAAAAGGTGCAAAGAGCCAAGTGGAAAGCCTGCAGAATGTGGCGGAACGTTGACTGACACAACGAAATAGACACAAACACAATACAAACAAGCACCTATATAACATCTAAGGTAAGAGCAGGTGTAGAGCCAGCAATGTCCAGTTGCGAAAACAGAAACAGCAAATGCAATAAGTAGAATGGCTAGTTGATAGCAACGTGATATAGAACGTCACAACACCAAAATGTGTGACAGCTTTAGAGCCATGAATTTGACTTTGATTTTCCTTTACAAATTTTTAACAATATATTCTTTTATAATTAAAAATTTATTATGAAAGGTTCATCACAGCCGTATCTTCATAGAAAAAAGCATACATTCGCATCATTTCTTCAGCGCGCTTCAAAAATTGTGGTTCGTGCATGGATTTCTATGAGCCAGTGAGAATAACTTCTGTTGCTGCATGCATAACTGAGTTGAGTTTGCGGTACATTTCCACGCCATGATTCACTCAACAAAGACAGGAATTAGCTGCTGCTGATGCCATACTTGCAGGGCGCGCATTCGTCGTCAATGCTTGGCCTGAGCAACGCGTGATATTCGCTTACAAATACTTGGCTCTGCAAGTGTGTGTGTGTGTGTATCATGAGTCTTTCAAATGTCAATGTGCACTTATATTCATAGTACTACCTTACCTACTTACACACGCTCCTCTCACGTGTGTGCTTGCATGAGTTCGTACTATTTATGCGCACAGAAGGCGCATTTGAAAGCGAATTCAGCACATTGTTAGTACTTTGTGCCACTGTAAATCCAAAGTATTTAGTTTTTATGCGCGCTACAACCGCTTTGACTTCTATCAAATTAGCCTAATGACACTCCAGAACGTTGAAGTGATTTAATGACAAGACGGAGTGAAAAGCGTTTATTTGCTGCCAACCCCCATTCAACAACCGACAGATACAATTCCAATGCTTATTCATAACTCACGCACACGCCCCCCCACTCAGACACATGCACACACACACAAACATGCACGAGAACAAGGCAGTTCGTCAACTGCTAGGCGATAGGCAGGCCCACATGTCAAATGACGGCTTCCTTCCTACTTGCTCTGTGCGCGCGCTGGTGAAAACGTCGGCTTGGAGGGGTGCGGTGGCTCAGGGAYGAAATTGATGTGTTCGTGGTTGCATTTAGCGAATCTGTCGTGGTGGTGTTGTACATTGGCACACGTGAACGCGCACACATACACTTGCTTTTGTGTGTATACATATATGTTTGTATGTGTGCAGGTTTGTGCAAACATTGTTGCTTGGTACATGTCTATTTGGCTATGTTAAAATTTGWATTGGCTRACAGTTCGGCGGCAAAATTTAAATGCACACGTTGTTAGACATTTTGGGAATTTTGACATTTGCTGTCCCAAATGTTGCTTCAAATATGACAAATCTGAGCTGTCTGCCAAAGCATATGTCACATGTGAAATTTCGGTGTTCGTTTGAATTATAATACGGCTAGAAGGGGGCTGCGAGGAGAGTATAGCAAATTGCTTGAACG